TTATCAAGGGTTCATGGGGGAGGGGGGAGCAGGGAGGGAGGAAACATTGAGGAGCAAATACCAGGGGCTCAAGCAGAAAGCAAATGTTTTGAGAATGAGGAGGGAAACAAATGTACAAAAGTGCTTGACACAATGGATGTATATGTGGCTTGTTGTACAAGCCCCCAATAAAATGATTTAATTACATACAAAAAAAAAGAAGCACACAGTGACATTGTAGACCCTACACTAAACAAAAAACTAAGTATTTACAATTAACTCCATGCTGTTTTGGCTTATTTCTGATCATTGAGCCACAATAAAAAGATGCCAGCATTGCATATAGTTGCATCCCACCGAACTTCAATGTGCTTTGTGTAGTCCGCATCAGTTTATCCAGTGAGGTTTTAATACTTGCTTAATTAATCCCTTAGTTTAAGTAGCCGAGTGGCTTACCTAGAAAAAAGTTTCCTAAGGGTAGTTTCACAGTACTTAGCTCCATGCAAAATTATAGGCTGAGTTTTCTGAAACTCACCATGGTCGGAGAAAAACTCATTTTCATGTCATTTATCCATATTCTTGCTACTTCTTTATTAGAAGAATCTTTCTTTACTGTACCATTGCTTACATCAGCTGAGGAGAAAAAGAATCAATTTATACTTTAGAACAAAATCATAACTTTTCTTCCAGTTGTTTTAAGTTATAAGCTTACCCACTTCACAAATCAAAGAGCACCCATTTGCCCATCATACCATCTTAAAATTAAATATAAGGATGAAAACATTCAAGTAACATAATCACTAACCATATATGTGAATTTTCTTTGACCTCCATGTCCTTTTTACAGCTTTGTATCTCAGCAAACCCTCAGACACCATTATGACCTCGTGCTCATAGTCTCCCTGTCATCTGTATGTGACCCTGTAGTTAGTTATCTTGTCTTTGCCCTGTATAAGACTTAATGAATGTTCTCTTTAAATTAAAAAAAAGTGTATGAAAAATATTGAAGTATTGGGGCACCTAAAACAGAACTAGATAGTCTAGTACAAACAACAAGAACTGAAGAAAAGCACTACTTTGGGACACTTCAATTGAAGAGCTAATTAAAAGAAAAACTTCATGTTCTCACAAGACACTCAACGTACCTAATTTGAGGATACTTAACTTCCCAAGCAAAAAAAAAAGTGATATTTTTTTAGGAGGGGGGGCGTAGGGCAGAAGAAAATTAAATTTAAAACTGTATGTTTTTCCTTTCTTCAGAATAAAAATCCAAACAACAAACCCTGTTGTTCCTCTACAGTGGTTTTCAACTATTTAAAAATATAGCAATGGAATTCTGGAATCCAAATCCAAAAGCAAAATGGACAAACTAATCAGAGGAAGGGGGAAGGGCACTCAAATAAAAATGGCAGGCTTAGTCCTCATTAAGTCCACAGATCCTAATGAAATGCTGCTTCCTCTAACCACTGAGCACCCAGAAATCCCCTGGGAGCCATTCCAGACGCAGCCCAGCACCTCAACTAGGTCAGGGTCACAGTTCTGCTCTCTAGAGCAAAAAAACAAACAAAAAACCATTCTCATAAGAATTGTAAAAATGGACTAAGACAGCCAAAATGATTTCCTAACTGTCATCTATCTGCCAAGTTGCAGTTAGCTCACAAAAAAGACCTTCAGGCTACAACTGCAGCCATACAGGGCAATGTTACGGACTCCAAAACAGACAAGTTGAAGCTGTCTGCTTCCGTAAAGGTTTATAGCCTCACAAACCCAATAGAGGGTCGCTATGAGTGGTATTGACTCAACAGCAGCGTGTTTGGATTTTTTTAAACATTAGTTATTAAAAGTTATCACCCTACAATGGGGAGAGGGCAGCACATCAGAAGAAGTTGTCTATTGAATATCCTTCACCTCATCCCAGGAGCCCTGGTGGTGTAGTGGTTAATACAATGGATTGCTAACTAGCTGCAAGGTCGGCAGTTCAAAACCATCAGCCACTCCACAGGAGAAAACCAGTTTCAGAAACTCAGAGGCAGTTCTACTCTGGGTAGCTATGAGTCAACATCAACTTGATGACAGTTTTTTTCTTTAGCTTTGAGTTTTATGTATGTATGTACTTGAATATGTCTTGCATCCACAGAGCTGAAACTATCAACAGGTCAGCTCATGTTAGAACTAAGGATAAGCCCAGTTCCCACCGCCAGGATACTGTAAAAAAAAATGTTGATGCAAATTATCTTTGACTTAGTGCAAAGTTCAGCTTTCAGTTTCTAAAGGTAAAGCTAAACTACTAAAGTGTGAAATAGCCAAAGAAACAAAAAACAAACCACCTGATTAATTATATTCCCCATCCCCTAAAAAATCACCTTAGCACAGGAAACCCTAAAGCTTCCTCTGGTCCTTCCTGCCCTACGGCCCCCATGTGTTACACTTTTCCCAGAGCATCTCTCTCTCTCTCTCCCTGGCAGGCTCTGTACTTTACTCAAGTGTTTACTCTCCACTAGAATGCTATCTCCGTGGCAGAGATATAGCAAGCTTGCTCCCCAGCCCAGCCTTCAGACCCAGAGCATGTATCACACGAACAGCATTCAGTACACATTTGTTGAAAGAACAGCCTCAAAAGAGCCACTCAAGAAGATCAACTCTAAGATCCACTCTATGCATG